CTTGCCGTTTTGTTTGCCACCTTTGCTTCCCTTATCGCCACCTGCGCCTCCCTTGCCGCCTCTGTCGAATGCTGGGGGAACTGCTTCCTTGTCATCGATGGTGACCGCGGGCTTGGTGCCAAGCTTCTGTCCGCACTGCTTGCAGAAGAAGAAGAAGGAGGAGGAGGAGGAGGAGGAGGAGGAGGGACGAGGAGGAGGAGGAGGCATAAAGCGGACGAGGAGGAAGAGGAGGAGAGGGAGGAGGAGAGGGACGAGGAGGGGGGGAGGGAGGAGGAGGAGGGGGAGGAGGAGAGGAGGAGAGGAGGAGGAGGAGGAGGAAGGGGAGAGGAGGAGGAGGAAGAGGAGGAGGAGAAGGAGGAGGAGGAGGAAGAGGAGGAGGAGGAAGGCGGACGAGGAGGAGGAGGCGGAGAAAGAGGAGGAAGAGGAGGAGGAGGAAGGCGGAGGAGGAGGACAAGGACAAGGACATCCGCATAAGGGGGTCAAGGTCAACACCTACGAAAGAGCTGCGCGCGCGACTAGCAAAATCCCCTGCGAATGAATTGTGCCGCAAACCCAGACTTCTCATGGGGGCCGGCAGGGGGGCATACCCCGAAGAATCAAGGGACGAGCTCCGAAGTGGCCACGTAAAAGAGGCTCGCTACCTTATGGGTGCGAATCCTTACGGGTCAGCGAGGGGGGGGAGCTGTTGGCCCTCTCGCGTGCCCACGGCAATGGGGACGCGCTGGGCGAGCAGGGCTCCCGAGCTAGGGGGGAGAACGACGACACGACCACACTCGAAAAGGAGAAGAGGAGGGGATGCACAGAGCCCTTGCGTGCCGACCTTTGCTGGGGGGCCGAATTACGTTCTACCTACGCCCTGCTGTTCTCTCATTCCTAACAGAATATTTTTGTTTCTCTCTCTCTCTCTCTTTCTGTCTCTCTCTCTCTCTCTCTCTCTTTGTCTCTGTCTCAAGGCTCACTTCCCTTCCTGAGCGTGCTGGCCGATGGCTGTCTCATGCAATGTCGTATCTGTACCATGATACCCTGCAGTAGTGCTCCAATATACCCCTTCGGTGCGGCGTGTAAGTAAGGGCGAACATACCTATCGTCACGGCGTGTGCGAGGTTGGTTTTATCCCCCATTATGTGAAACATCCGTGTCTCGGAAGAAGGAGGTACGAACATGAAGTAGGAAGGCGTTGAAAGTAGATTGGGTGTCCGCCCGCCCCCTAGAGAGGACGGGAAAGGTGAAGCCTCTCGATCGTTGAAGTAGGATTAAAGCAGATTGGATCATGGGAATCCCAAAATACCTATCGCCAAGCCGTGACCGAGCACACCACAACAGGAAAAAGGCCAGCGGGGCACGACGCGCTGCACTGCGGCACCCTGCCACAGAAGCCTGTCCGGTGTCGGTAGAGCTGACGAATCTGCTTGCGTGCTCGATGTCCTGCAATAGGCCATTTGCTTGACGACCATTAGCGGGTCTTACGCACGATGACATAGCGATTTTACCTGGTGGCTTACGCGGGCCACGAGCGCGGCACGCTACACTGGAAGCGAGGACGCTTGCGAGCAGCCTTACGCGGGCAGCTTACGCATGAACGTCGCTCGCTCGAGAAGCGCACTCGCTCTCTATAACTTGTAAGGTGAGCAGGCTTTGCCACGGCAGCAGTCGAAGTTCAAGAGAATCAGCAGGGATGCCTACGGCAACGTCAGGCGGAAAGCGTCAAAGACAATGCGTGATGAGCAGCAGCAGCAGCAGCAGCAGCAACAATTGACAGAAAAATCCGAGGTGAGCGAGGCACCGGCATCAAAACATGATCCGTGTGATGGCGCTTGGCACCATCGCCAGCCTTGTAGCGCTGCGCCCAGACCTGGAGCTGAAATCAAAATGGGTCACAGGCAAGTCCCGACGATCATCCTCGAGCCCATCCTCCTCTTCCTCCTCCTCCTCCTCATCCTCCTCCGCGTGCCCTTTCCTGGAGCCCAAAGTCCCCTCCGCCTGCCCCTGACATGCGCTTCCCTGCATGCCCGCCACCGAACTGGCTGGCACGTGAAAGCGTCGTACAAGGCAAAGCGCTGTCTGGTAGGGTTTGAGAAACATTCCAAAGAACCCCATCCTCATCACATCCACCCGCACGCATCGCCTCACATCTCCCTTTTCTAATAAAAGGTTACAGGTCCGCGCTCCCGAAGCCACGATCTCTCGTACTTAGCCTGGCGAAGGACCCAACCCCAAACAGTTACGAGTTGCGCGGGTAATGGCCAACTGCTCATAGCCAATGCGCTGCGAACGGGGGGGCCGTGCGATACCCGGCCGCTCAAGCTTTCAGCGGCCACGAAATGCGTGAGGGGTGTGCCGAAATGGGCGGTGGGACTGCACGCGGTGAGGGCTTCGGTGGAGACCCGTAGGGGGCCAAAGAACTTGTGAAAGATGCGCCGGAACGGGCGGGGGGGCGCCGTGCGGCGCCTTGCCACTGATGCCTTCGGTACGGGGCCACGACACGCGTGAGGGATGTGCCAGAATATGCGGTTTTTCCTCGGTTTGGGTTTTTCCTCGGTTTGGGTTTTTCCTCGATTTGGGTTATTCCTCGGTTTGTCTTCGGTTTCCTCTGTCAAAAGTCCCCAGAATGGGCGGGGGGGCCGCTTTGCGGCAACTTGCCACTGGTGATTATGGTGGAGCTCCCTGTAGGCCGCAAAACGTGCGAGGCCTCCGGAGAGACCCAACGCCCCCCGAGAGGGCCCGAGGGAACCCCAAGACAGGCCTAGAGGGCCCCACGACGTTTCGGGTGGTCCCCAAGGGGCCCCAATGACTGGCCAACAGGTAACCAACACAGCCTCAAGAAGGCCCAAAGATTCCCGATGAGAGCTCCTCAAGAGGTGGAAAAGAGCGGTGTCGCACGTTACGGCATCCCGCCCCCCGTCGAACAGTCGCCAAGAATTGGGAAGGTACGATGTCGGGATTTCCCGCAGACAGCTGGACATTATATTTATATATATAATGGTCGCCCCCCCCATATGATCAGACATATTCCTCTTCCATGCATCCCATCTATCTTCCTCCTCCTCATCCTCTTCGACTATTCTTCCTTCTCTCTCTATCTCTCTCATCCCCTTCTCCTCCTCCCCCTCCTCCTCCTGCAGGAGCGTGGCAGCCTCCCCCTCCCCCTCCCCATCCCCCTTCTTCTCCTCCCCCTCCCAATCCCCCCCTCCCCCTCCCCCCCTCCTCCTCGAGCAGGAGCGCGGGCGCTGAAAAACTACAAAGAAGAACAACCAAATACCCCAGGCTGAAGAGAAAAACAATGAAACAACAAAAAACGAACACGAACAAACGATTTCAAGAATTACCCCATCCCCGCCGCCCTCACGGAGAAAGCGCTGCAATATTGTTGTTTTGGGGGCGAGTGGTCTGTCATTGTGTTTTTTTGTTTTTGTTTCTGCCCTGGGTCTTTGGTTTCTTTGTTTTTTGTTTGGTGTTTCCTTGTGTTGTTTTGGTTTCTCAATGCCCGGGAGGTTTCGGGAGCCCTAGGAGGCCCCCGAAAGCCCCGGGAGGCCCGACGCTCCTTTCTCAACGCAGTCGGGCAATAATTTGGGTGCGCGCTCGAAACTAGAATATCATTGAGCGCGCTGCCAGCTCATCTGGGGCTCAGGAGCGCGCGCCACCTCGGCGGCGCTCGCCCACGCCCGAGCCCGAGCCGACAGCGCAGCCGTCGCTGCGCCCGCTTTAATGGCGCGCGCGCGGCCGCCCGCTCAGGCCGAACCGAGAAAGCCCTCGGCCTCCGCCCCCCCCGCGGGAGAGGGCATGCGAATGTTTGCCGCCGCGTCGTCCTCGCCCATCAGCTGAGAGAGCTCCACGTCTAGCTGCCCGCGGGCAGGGGCAGCAACTGCAGACCCCGAAGACGCCGCCGCGGCCTGTCGCTTGGCTGGGGACGGGGGGCTCTCGATGTTGAGCGTGCCAGAGAGAGCCGCCAAGTTCCTAAACATCTTCGTCTCTAGAGACTGATGCTCACGCTTCACGGGGATCCGCGCGCGCGGGGGCGGCGGCCGCTTCGGCTCGGGCCCTGAAGGCGTTCTCCACAAAGGCCCGCTCCTTCTGCAGCAGCGCGCCCTTGTTCGGCGGCGGCGTGAGGTCCCCCGCCTTGAACAGGCCGTAGAGTCGCTCGCCCTCCGTCGTCAAGTACTCGTCCGAGCTGCAGATCGACTTGCGCTGGGCGTCTGCCCCATCAGTCCCCGGGGCGCGCCAGCACGCGCGGGTCTTAATGTTCGCGAAGAAGCCCGCGCGCTTCATGAATTCCATCGCACAAGCGCGAGTAGCCTTCTCGTGGAAGGCCGGCCTGACAAGGTTGAAGAAGTTCTGGAACGCGACGGGCGGCCAGCAATCATTTTTCTCTGCCTCAGGGTCGCGCACCTGGTCCGCGATGGCACGCGGCTCGCCCTTCACCCATTGGGTGGCCCCCCCCGCCGCGCCCAGCACGTGGACTCGAACTGGCCGGCGCCCAGCAAGGCTGCGACCATTTTCGAGGGCAGCCGGTTGAGGGAGCCATCCTTCAAGAAGTCGCCCATGGTGAAAGAACCAAGCTCTCCGCGCAGGAAGTCGATCTCGGGCGTCGCGCGGACGCGCGCAGACTCGAGGTCCAACTCGTGGATGCGGGCGCTGCGGCGGCAGAGCGCGAAAAGGCACGACCGCCCCGGGGGCGTCTTCCCGAAATTCGGCCCCCCTATGAGCGAGACGGAGCAGGGCGGGCCCATGTTTTCTGCCATGACGTCGAGCACCCGCGGCTTGAAGTGTTCCCCCACCAGGGCGATGCGCCACTCGGCCTCCTTCTTCGCGAGCGAGCCCTCCGCCGCGAGCCCGCTCAACGCCTTCGCCGCCAGGGCGACGGGCCAGCCGCGGAGGGGGGCGCCTTTGCGCGGCGCGTTTGTCTGCCAAATCAATTGCTTCAGGTCGGCCGTGGAGCGGGGCGCGTTCTGCAGGATGCACTCGAAGCCCGCGTTTATGTCTTCGTCTGACATCTCGTAAAACTAGTTCACCTCGGCGCTCGCCTTGACGTCTGGCGACAAGAAAAACGCGCGAAACTGTTTCCCGCCGAAGCGCTCGAAAGCGCACTGCCATGCCTTGACCCCCACCTCGCAGCGCGATCGAAGAAAAAGGGAACGAGGGCGCGGCGGCGACTGAGCCAGGTTGTCTGTTTTCTGGATCTGGAAAAACTGTCAAAAACCACACCGCCGCACCCTCGCCATCCTTGTTCCGAGCCGTGCAACTTGGGGTGCTGGAAGCAGAGTTTCTTGACGCCCCCGAACGCCATGCTGACAAGGACGGTCGTCTTCGCCTTGTTGGGGATGACGCAATGCTTGATGATGGTATTCGTGCCGTCGGGGGCCTGAATGATGCATATCTGTAGCGTCGCGTGGCTCGGCGGCGCCGTCTTGAACCCGAACGGCGGCGGCAGCTTGCGGCAGTCGTCGGTCGACCTTCCACGCCGCCTTGCAATGCTCGTCCAGCTCGGGGGGGGCCGGGTCTGTATGCCCAGCGATGAGGTCAACGTAGTTCACGAGTGGGTTCTCGTTGGCGCCGATGTCGTTGGTGAGCTCAAGAAATGGCTCCATTTCGCCATGGGGCAGCACGGCCGTTGCCATTGGCGCGGGAAGAGGGCGGCGGAACCAGCCCTCTGTCGCCGCCTTGAAGTCCTCGCACGCGGACATGGCGCGATCTTGAATGACGCCGACGGTTTGCCAGGAGGCGCACGCTTGGTGTTGCGACTGCACCCAAGAGGCTACGAGCTGCGAGCTGCGTCAGAAAAAGCGCGCAATCAAGCGGCTGCCCCGCCAGAGACTCTCGGGGGGCCGCAAACCAACTTGGGCCCACCATTGCCGCGCACTGTTTCGGGGCGACCGAGCCGCACCCCGCTGGGTCTATCCCTGAACGAACGAAGCTCTCCATCAGCCGATTGGCAGACCTGGGCAGCAGACGATGGGGAAAGAAAGAACAGGACCATGAAGAAGATGCTGACGACGCCGACAACGTGTTCTGGAAGATGGCGTTTGCGGTTGCTGATATGGTTCCCGTCGTTGGCATCGTCGGGGCAGGCAGTGTAGAATCGATGTGGAGTTATACTTGCGGAGGGGCAGCGCTGGCCGCTGGCTGCCCCCTCGCCGAAGTGGCCGCCCGCTCACTCAGTCACTGCAGGCGGCGGCGCGAGCCGCGGAGACCGAACGGCGGGCCCGCGCGCGCGCGGTGGCTCGGCTGCGCGCCACCGACCTCGGACGCGCCAGCCCCGGCGGCGCCGGGGGGGCGAGGGGGCAGGCGAGGCGGCGGGGATATGGGCGCGGGGGGCAATGACAATAGCAACGGCAGCCGTCGCGACAGCATGGCCGAAATTGGGCGGGGACATGGGGAATATTGAATGGCCGAAATTGGGCGGGGACGCGGGCGAAAGTAAACTGGGCCACAACAGAAGTGACATTCGCCCTCCTTCGCGTGGCACATAGCGCACGCTGGCGCACGCTGCCCGGGAACCCATACTTCGCTGGGCGTCCTTCTGATGGGCTGGCAGCCCTTGCACCTCGCCGTCGTCGCCGAGCCGCAGTCCACGCGCGGCCTCGCCAGTGCCCTTCGAGCGGCTTCGCGGAAGAGCTGGTTTCACCTGATGTGCGCCACCTCCTTGGAGATGGCGGGGGGGCGCCGCGCGGCGCCTTGCCACTGATGCCTTCGGTGCAGCTCTCTGCGGGGCCACGACACGCGTGAGGGATGTGCCAGAATATGCGGTTTTTCCTCGGTTTGGGTTTTTCATCGGTTTGGGTTTTCCTCGATTTGGGTTATTCCTCGGTTTGTCTTCGGTTTCCTCTGTCAAAAGTCCCCAGAATGGGCGGGGGGGCCGCTTTGCGGCAACTTGCCACTGGTGATTATGGTGGAGCTCCCTGTAGGCCGCAAAACGTGCGAGGCCTCCGAAGAGACCCAACCCCCCCCGAGAGGGCCCGAGGGAACCCCAAGACAGGCCTAGAGGGCCCCACGACGTTTCGGGCGGTCCCCAAGGGGCCCCAATGACTGGCCAACAGGTAACCAACACAGCCTCAAGAAGGCCCAAAGATTCCCGATGAGAGCTCCTCAAGAGGTGGAAAAGAGCGGTGTCGCACGTTACGGCATCCCGTCCCCCGTCGAACAGTCGCAAAGAATTGGGAAGGTACGATGTCGGGATTTCCCGCAGACAGCTGGACATTATATACATATATATATATATACTATGGTCGCCCCCCCCCCCCCCCATATGATCAGACATATTCCTCTTCCATGCATCCCATCTATCTTCCTGCTCCTCATCCTCTTCGACTATTCTTCCTTCTCTCTCTATCTCTCTCATCCCCTTCTCCCCTCCCCCTCCTCCTCCTGCAGGAGCGTGGCAGCCTCCCCCTCCCCCTCCCCCATCCTCCTTCTTCTCCTCCCCCTCCCAATCCCCCCCCCCCCCCCCCCCTCCTCCTCCAGCAGGAGCGCGGGCGCTGAACAACTACAAAGAAGAACAACCAAATACCCCAGGCTGAAGGGAAAAACAATGAGGAAAACAAAAAAAAACGATTTCAAGACTTACCCCATCCCCGCCGCCCTCACGGAGAAAGCGCTGCAATATTGTTGTTTTGGGGGCGAGTGGTTTGTCATTGTGTTTTTTTGTTTTTGTTTCTGCCCTGGGTATTTGGTTTCTTTGTTTTTTGTTTGGTGTTTCCTTGTGTTGTTTTGGTTTCTCAATGCCCGGGAGGTTTCGGGGGCCCTAGGGGGCCCCCGAAAGCCCCGGGAGGCCCGACGCTCCTTTCTCAACGCAGTCGGGCAATAATTTGGGTGCGCGCTCGAAACTAGAATATCATTGAGCGCGCTGCCAGCTCATCTGGGGCCCAGGAGCGCGCGCCACCTCGGCGGCGCTCGCCCCCGCCCGAGCCCGAGCCGACAGCGCAGCCGTCGCTGCGCCCGCTTTAATGGCGCGCGCGCGGCCGCCCGCTCAGGCCGAACCGAGAAAGCCCTCGGCCTCCGCCCCCCCCGCGGGAGAGGGCATGCGAATGTTTGCCGCCGCGTCGTCCTCGCCCATCAGCTGAGAGAGCTCCACGTCTAGCTGCCCGCGGGCAGGGGCAGCAACTGCAGACCCCGAAGACGCCGCCGCGGCCTGTCGCATGGCTGGGGACGGGGGGCTCTCGATGTTGAGCGTGCCAGAGAGAGCCGCCAAGTTCCTAAACATCTTCGTCTCTAGAGACTGATGCTCACGCTTCACGGGGATCCGCGCGCGCGGGGGCGGCGGCCGCTTCGGCTCGGGCCCTGAAGGCGTTCTCCACAAAGGCCCGCTCCTTCTGCAGCAGCGCGCCCTTGTTCGGCGGCGGCGCGAGGCCCCCCGCCTTGAACAGGCCGTAGAGTCGCTCGCCCTCCGTCGTCAAGTACTCGTCCGAGCTGCAGATCGACTTGCGCTGGGCGTCTGCCCCATCAGTCCCCGGGGCGCGCCAGCACGCGCGGGTCTTAATGTTCGCGAAGAAGCCCGCGCGCTTCATGAATTCCATCGCACAGGCGCGAGTAGCCTTCTCGTGGAAGGCCGGCCTGACAAGGTTGAAGAAGTTCTGGAACGTGACGGGCGGCCAGCAATCATTTTTCTCTGCCTCAGGGTCGCGCACCTGGTCCGCGATGGCACGCGGCTCGCCCTTCACCCATTGGGTGGCCCCCCCCGCCGCGCCCAGCACGTGGACTCGAACTGGCCGGCGCCCAGCAAGGCTGCGACCATTTTCGAGGGCAGCCGGTTGAGGGAGCCATCATTCAAGAAGTCGCCCATGGTGAAAGAACCAAGCTCTCCGCGCAGGAAGTCGATCTCGGGCGTCGCGCGGACGCGCGCAGACTCGAGGTCCAACTCGTGGATGCGGGCGCTGCGGCGGCAGAGCGCGAAAAGGCACGACCGCCCCGGGGGCGTCTTCCCGAAATTCGACCCCCCCATGAGCGAGACGGAGCCGGGCGGGCCCATGTTTTCTGCCATGACGTCGAGCACCCGCGGCTTGAAGTGTTCCCCCACCAGGGCGATGCGCCACTCGGCCTCCTTCTTCGCGAGCGAGCCCTCCGCCGCGAGCCCGCTCAACGCCTTCGCCGCCAGGGCGACGGGCCAGCCGCGGAGGGGGGCGCCTTTGCGCGGCGCGTTTGTCTGCCAAATCAATTGCTTCAGGTCGGCCGTGGAGCGGGGCGCGCTCTGCAGGATGCACTCGAAGCCCGCGTTTATGTCTTCGTCTGACATCTCGTAAAACTAGTTCACCTCGGTGCTCGCCTTGACGTCTGGCGACAAGAAAAACGCGCGAAACTGTTTCCCGCCGAAACGCTCGAAAGCGCACTGCCATGTCTCGACCCCCACCTCGCAGCGCGATCGAAGAAAAAGGGATCGAGGGCGCGGCGGCGACTGAGCCAGGTTGTCTGTTTTCTGGATCTGGAAAAACTGTCAAAAACCACACCGCCGCACCCTCGCCATCCTTTTTCCGAGCCGTGCAACTTGGGGTGCTGGAAGCAGAGTTTCTTGACGCCCCCGAACGCCATGCTGACAAGGACGGTCGTCTTCGCCTTGTTGGGGATGACGCAATGCTTGATGATGGTATTCGTGCCGTCGGGGGCCTGAATGATGCATATCTGCAGCGTCGCGTGGCTCGGCGGCGCCGTCTTGAACCCGAACGGCGGCGGCAGCTTGCGGCAGTCGTCGGTCGACCTTCCACGCCGCCTTGCAATGCTCGTCCAGCTCGGGGGGGGGCGGGTCTGTATGCCCAGCGATGAGGTCAACGTAGTTCACGAGTGGGTTCTCGTTGGCGCCGATGTCGTTGGTGAGCTCAAGAAATGGCTCCATTTCGCCATGGGGCAGCACGGCCGTTGCCATTGGCGCGGGAAGAGGGCGGCGGAACCAGCCCTCTGTCGCCGCCTTGAAGTCCTCGCACGCGGACATGGCGCGATCTTGAATGACGCCGACGGTTTGCCAGGATGCGCACGCTTGGTGTTGCGACTGCACCCAAGAGGCTACGAGCTGCGAGCTGCGTCAGAAAACGCGCGCAATCAAGCGGCTGCCCCGCCAGAGACTCTCGGGGGACCGCAAACCAACTTGGGCCCACCATTGCCGCGCACTGTTTCGGGGCGACCGAGCCGCACCCCGCTGGGTCTATCCCTGAACGAACGAAGCTCTCCATCAGCCGATTGGCAGACCTGGGCAGCAGACGATGGGGAAAGAAAGAACAGGACCATGAAGAAGATGCTGACGACGCCGACAACGTGTTCTGGAAGATGGCGTTTGCGGTTGCTGATATGGTTCCCGTCGTTGGCATCGTCGGGGCAGGCAGTGTAGAATCGATGTGGAGTTATACTTGCGAAGGGGCAGCGCTGGCCGCTGGCTGCCCCCTCGCCGAAGTGGCCGCCCGCTCGCGCAGTCACTGCAGGCGGCGGCGCGAGCCGCGGAGACCGAACAGCGGGCCCGCGCGCGCGGTGGCTCGGCTGCGCGCCACCGACCTCGGACGCGCCAGCCCCGGCGGCGCCGGGGGGGCGAGGGGGCAGGCGAGGCGGCGGGGATATGGGTGCGGGGGGCAATGACAATAGCAATGGCAGCCGTCGCGACATCAACGGCGCCCGCAGCGGCAGCAGCAATGTCGCGGCAGCAACGGCAATGACGTATCTATGATCGTCGCTAGTACCGCGATCGCCGATCGATCTCCGCCGCCGAGATCTGCCCGATCGCTCTCCCCTCTCATCGGCCGCGCGCGCGGGCAAGCGCCCCGCGTCGAATGCCACTGCGCGGTGGGGGGGGGGGGGGGGTAGACCGAGCGACTGCTGCGCGATCCACTGCATCCTGTTCCACGCGGTGGACCAGTCGACCTTCGCCGCGTCGAAACGCCGCGGGTCGTCGGGCGAGGCGACCGTGACTGTGCACGCGCGGTCGCGGACGTCGTGGCCGACGCAGTCCGCAATCACTTCGAAGGATCGGCGCTCGCGGACAATGACATCGCCCACTGCGGGGTCGCCCGACACTCACAGCGGGCCTGCGAAGCCCGGCGCCACGAAGGGGGCCCCCGCCCTCTGGAATTGGATGAGGGCGGGCCAGATGCACGCGGTGAACTTGTCCTGGGGCCAACCGAACACGCGCGGCTCACGACCAAATGCGAGCTCGGGTGATTAGGGGTTCAATTCAAACAAAGTAGACATGGTAGCGCCGCCCGTGTCTACGCGGCAAAGAAGACGCCGGGTTCCCCCCGCCCCCGTCCTCGCCCGCGGCCAAGCGCGGAGACTGCGCTGGACCAATATTGCGCCATTGCCAGGCGCGGCGCGGGGGAGGAATGCGCATTCGAACGGCCATGGACCGAGATTTGTCCTGCGCTAGAGGCTGCGCGGGGGTGCCAGATCACTATGGGTGGAGCCCGAACACTCGCGGCGACGGAGGGGGGGGTGCGGGGGCTAGACTGGCGACGACGACGGCGAAAGATGACACATGGAGATGGAAGGAGGGGCGCATGGGCGCAGCGGAGCGGCCGACGACGACGAGTCAACGACGGATACGACTGCGGTGGGGAACAACAACCAGAGGTCAGTCACGCGCGTGCGGAAATACTCGAGCACTCTCTGAAGGCGCCCGATCACAGCGGGTGGCCCACAGCAGCGGCGAAAGCGTTACCGTGCATTCTAGACATGTGCTTATACAGGTCAGCGGAAGCGGGGGCAGCGTCGGCCGTTGGCTGCTCCCCGCGCCGGCGGAGCATGCCCTCAGTACGCCGAGTTCATGACCTCCCAGATTGCGTTCGCGGTCGCCGCCCACAGGTCCTCGCCCCTGTTCCAGTATTCGAACTGGGCCGAGCGAACAGAAGCCGCGAGGTGCCTGCTGCCTGGACGGTCTGAACGCGTGCCGATGAGGGCCTTGATGAACCCCATGCGCGGTCGATGATCTGGGCCCCCGCCTTGACCGTGATCGTGGAGCCGTCAGGCACCTTTGGGGTGACAACCTTCGAGTAGATGTGCTTCAGCCACGCCAGCTTCCCACCAATCATCTTCCTCTTCTTGCCGTGCACCACGTGGTCGTGCACGAGGCAGCTGCGGGCTCCGTCAGAGTGCAGGATCACCTTCCTGTTATCCAGGCGACCCTCCTGCAGGAATGGCGCCCAATCGGTCTTCTTGATGGCGCCTGGGCCTGGCGCGTTGGCCTCGGTGCCGTCAGACTGGGTCTTCCACAGAACAAGGCTCTCAGGGCGCCCGCGCTCGACGACGCCCGCCCGCTGCTCCCACGTCTTGGAAAGGCCGTCATCGGAGACCTGGGCGCGGAAGACCGACTCGTCCGCCTGCACGTCGAACCAGCGCCGCTTGGCGTGGTCACCGAAGACAATGTGGTTCTCCTTCTCCTCCACGTACGTCTGCCGCACGGCGGCCATGGCCATGCTCATGTCCTCGACCATCTTGTGGTTGCGTCCTCCTCCTCCTCCTCCTCCTTTTCCTCCTCCTCTTCCTCCTCCTCCTCCTCCTCCTCCTCCTCCTCCTCCTCCTCCTCCTCCTGAGAGGAAGGGGCACGGGCGGCAGCAGCAGGCGAGGAATACGATAAGGACGACGTCTACGGAAAAACTCGTAATAATCCGGATAAGAAGATGATGAAGAAGCTGAATACGAAGAAAGCTAAGACAACGCAGAGGAATAATGATACGAATAAGAAGGGATACAAAACGAACATACGAAACTGTATGACCATGTGAGGGTGCGACCAGATGTTTATATATATGCATACATACATGCATGCATACATACATGCATGCATACATACATACAGAAATATAGTGTAATATATATATATATATATATATATATATATATATATATATAATATATATAAGTACATATATACAAAAACGAACCATCTGTTTCGTATACAGACATATCTGGTTATTCCGGACGAAGGCAAATCTGGCGTCAAAGGAACATTTGTTTGAAGAGCCTAGGAAGCCGAACCAGGGCCGTGAATGGCCATACGTACATATACCTATATGTATGTATGTGTATATCTATACGCATACACGTGTATGGCACATCTATATCTCTATATATATATATATGAGAGAGAGAGAGAGAGAGAGAGAGAGAGAGAGCGTGATCCACCGCCGCTTTACTGTGGAAAATTGCTGCCCTTTTCCTCCGGAACCCGGGGGTCCCCCCCCCCCCCCCTCCGAAAATCCCCCCCCTGCTGGACCCCCCCCCCCCCCTTCCCCCGGCAAAACCCCCCCCCTCCCCTCCCCCCCCCCCCCCCCCTCGAACTCGAAAACCGGGGGGGGTCACTACCGGTTCGAACCCCCCCCCCCCCTCGAAAACCGGAGGGGGGGGTCACTACCGGTTCGAACCACTGAGCTGTCCCACTGTTCCCACCACTGTCCCCACTGTCCCCACCACTGTCCCCACTGTACCTCTGTCCCATTGTCCCACCGCCGTCCTCGCCACCGCCTTCACCACTGTCCCCACCACCACTGTACCCTCCACTGTCCTACTGTTTCCACCACATTCCCACTGTCCCCACACCACTGTCCCCACCACCACCGTCCCCACCACTGTCCCACTGTCCCCACTGTTCCCACCATTGTCCTCACCATTGTCCCCACCACTACCGTCCCCACCACTGTCCCACTGTCCCCACCACTGTCCCGCTGTCCCCTCACCACTGTCCCAACCACCACCGCCGTCCCCACCACTGTCCGCACCCCCCCTCGGTTTCGAGGGGGGGGGGGGTTCGAACCGGTAGTGACCCCCCTCGGTTTTCAAGCTCGAGGGGGGGGGGTTCGAACCGGTAGTGACCCCCCCTTTTTCATGATGAACTGGGGGGAGGGGGGGGGGAGGGGTTCGAACCGGTAGTGACCCCCCCCGGTTTTCCGGAGGGGGGGGGGGTGGGGGGGAGGGGTTCGAACCGGTAGTGACCCCCCCCAGTTTTCCGCCAGCAGCGGTAGAACACGCTCTTTCATATATATTTATATATATGGATATCTTACTGCTTGTCCATATATATATATATATATAGCTACAGGCATGCAAACATGAATGCAATCAGTTGTACATGTATGCGCGTATATGTATCTGCGTATACATCTACGCATGCACTATCCACTTACGTGCATACATATTGAACACATCTTTTTGACACGTGCGCATCTGTATCGGAGGTGAGGGGGTGAGGTCCACGGTGAGGTCGCAATGAAACGGATAGCCCCCCACCGAAAAATCGGGTTCGGTTTCGTGTTCGTGTCGCGCGTGCGGGCGAAGCGAAGCAGCGTGGGCGGGCGAAAGAATGCACCCTACTCTGGCTATGGCGCCGTTCAGGCCAAAAGACCGCCCCCAACCTCCCCCCGGGTTGTCCAGCGATGGCCGGGCAAGTCCCGATGCTGTCCCGATGGTGTCTCATGGTGTCCCATGGTGTCCCATGGTGCTCCCTCGGTGTCCCGTCGGTGTCCCGTCGGAGTCCCCTCAGTGTCCCGTAGTGAGATCGATAGTGAGATCGACTGAGGTATCGATAGTGAGGTCGATCGTGAGATCGATAGTGGGATCGATAGTGAGATCGATCGTGAGATCGATCGTGAGATCGATGGAGATATCGATAGTGATACCGATAGTGAGATCGTTAGTAAGATCGATACTGTAAGAAATCGTGAGATCGAAGAAGATATCGAAAGTGAGATCGACAGTGAGATCGATAGTGGGAGGGATAGTGAGATCGATTGTGAGATCAACAATGAGATCGATGGTGAGATCGATAGCGGTATGGATAGTGAGAACGATTTTGATGTCCCGTCGGTGTCCCGACGACGTCCCGTAGTGAGATCGATAGTGAGATCGATCGTGAGATCAATTGTGAGATCGATGGTGAGATCGATCGGGTGAGATCGATAGTGAGATCGATAGTGAGATCGTTTGTGAGATCGTTTGTGAGATCGATGGTGAGATCGATCGTGGGATCGATAGTGAGATCGATAGTGAGATCGATGGTGAGATCAATCGTGAGATCGATAGTGAGATCGCTGGTGAGATCAATCGTGATATCGATTGAATGAGACGTTGGTTCCTCCCCCCAAAAACTCCTTATCACCCGAAAGGTGGTCGAAAAAATATGTGTGTGTGTGTGTCTGTTCGCTCCCGCTACCTTGCTCTACCTTGCCCCTGTTTCCCCCCTCCCCCCCTCCCCCTCTCGCGTCTTGCCCCCCCCTGTATGATTACACAAGACGAACACTACTACTCTCCTTTCTCCCGTGGTGACGTCCAGAAGATATCCGGCCCCCCTCCGCGTACTTTTTTTACACACAGGATTCCTGGGAGTTGGGTGTTCGCTTAGGTTTGTTTTCAAAATGTTGCTCCCGCTGAAGCGCTGGCCTCAGTCTCGGGCTTCCGCTCGTTCCGAATCGTGCTCCCGCTGCAGCGCTGGCCTCGTTTCCGCGCTTCCGCTCGTTCCGAATCGTGCTCCCGCTGCAGCGCTGGCCTCATTTCCGCGCTTCCGCTTGTTCCGAATCGTGCTCCCGCTGCGGCGCTGGCGTCATCATTTCCAGCGCCATGCCACGGCATGGTTTGAAGCGATTACACATTCGGTCTCGATTCGTTGATTTGTTGGGGCGTCGCCACGCTTGATCTTCATCACCATTATGTGCCATGTAATGCTATGCCATGCTAAGACATCCGACCGTGCGAAAACAGAGGAGATCTACGCCATGGAAAGAGATGGGAGGGAGGGTAGGACGTCAGATATGACGCAAGCGCACCTATTTTGCCCCCTTCCCCTCCTCTCCCTCCCTCCACCCCTCCTCTCTCTCTCCCTTCTCCCTCCCTCCGCTCGGAGCACGGCGAGTTGAGACAACGGCAGCTCAAAATCGGTCCCTGGACCCCTCGTGGGGTCCAAAGGCACCAGTTTGCCGAGCTGTGCTCAACCGTGGCGACGACGGGCGTCTCCGAAGACCAACTACCACTGTCTCACCTCGCCCCCCTCTGATCCGCCGATTCCCTCCCCGCCACCCACCGAGCGGACCGTTTCCCCAATGCCGGCTCTTCATCCCGAGTCGTGTGTTGCGGGTCCCAGGTCCCAGGGCCTGCCGAGGGCCCCCAAAGGTCGAAAACTGTGGCAAGAACTCCACCTTCAGCTTATGTGGTAACACACCGTGTGGTGACCTCGAAATCCCAGAAAACGCTACCGCACGGTCCGTCACCACACCGTTTCGGGACCCAGGAGGCCCCGGTCGGCCGAGACGTCCCCGGAGAGGAACACAGGTCCCAAAACCGCACGGACCCCGAATCCCCACCGACTCACCAGGCGGCGTGGTCACCGCACCGTTTGGGGTGCCCCGAGTTTCTCGGGACGTTGGAGGTCTGGGACCCCGGGCGGACCAGCAGCGCCGGCCCGAGCAGCCCGATGGCGCTCAGGGCGAGCAGCAGCAGCGTCGCACTGGCGCGCGAGCCCAGCAGCTGCGCGGCCGCGAGCGCCAGCAGCGGCGTGACGGCGAGGGCGTGCCCTGCAGCAGGACCCCTCCCTGCTGCCGCCGCCGCTGCCGCCGCCGCCGCCGCCGCCGCCGCCGCCGACGACGACGACGACGACGACGACGACGACGACGACGACGGACGACGGACGGACGGACGGACGGACGAACGACGGACGACGGACGACGGACGACGGACGACGACGACGACGACGACGACGACGACCACGACGACGACGACGACGACGACGACGACGACGACGACGACGACGACGACGACGACGACGACCACGACCACGACGACGACGACGACGACGACGACGACGAACCACCCCACACCCACAGGGGGAGGGAGGGCGGGGAATGCACGGGCACCCTCCACCACGCCACGCCCAAAGGGCCACGACCACAGGGGAGTGGAAACGGTCCCAGTCGCGAGGCCTTCGGGCCTTCGCGAGGCTAACGGGCGTACCCATGCAGCGAAAGGGGGGCTCGATTCTCTATGCATTGGGGGGGAAACCCTGGATCATACAATCATATACGCATGTCCTCTACAGATTTCCTCACCGTCGCAGTACTAATGCAGGGTCCCGAGTGGGCCCTCTTCGGGGTCTCTTGGAACCATTTTCAGGCCGTCTTGGGGGCCTCCTGGGCCGTCTTGGCGCCCTCTGGGGCTGTCTTGGTCCCTCAGGGCGATCCTAGGGGGCCTCTTGGGGCTGTTCTGGGGCGGTCTGGGGGCCCGTTTGGGCTGTCTTGGCGCCCTCCCGGACTGTCTGGGGCCCCACTGGGTGCCCTCTTGGAGCGGCTTTGGGCCGTCGTATGCCCCTCTTGGGCCGTCCTAGGCTCGTCGTAGGTCCCTTTTGGGCGCCTATTTGGCCATCTTGGAGCGATCTCGAGGGCCTCTTCAACCGTCGCGAGCGCTCTAGAGACCGAGAAGCTGAGTATGCGAAAATGGCACCAAAATCCGGGGAAAACCCACTATTTGTGCCTCCTGGGGGCCTCTTGGGAATCGTCTTCGGGCCCCCTTGGGCCATCTGCGGAGCCCGTTGGGCTGTCGAGTGGCCATCTTGGACCCATCTTGGACCCATCTTGGCCCATCTGGGGCCCATCGTGGCCGTCTTGGGGCGCTCGTCGGGCCCTCCTGAAGCCTCTTGGGACCCTCCGGGGCCGTCTTTGGCCATATGGGGCCTTCTTGGGCCCTCCTGGGGCGCTCCGGAATCAGCCTCCCCGGCCGCGCCCGAAGTTGTGACGGATCAGTTTCCTATGTAAATATAGTTGTACCAGTTCAACTGTGCATATATATATATATAGAGAGAGAGAGAGAGAGAGAGAGAGAGAGACTAGAGATATAGAATGTATGTGCGGGTAGTGGGATCGGATGACAGACACTGTGGATCGATAAACGGGGGGATCAACATCCACAAATTCATGGATCGCGAATACGGTCTGACGCCAATCGCAAACCGAAGCCTGCACCATTCCCCCCTCTCCCGCAACCTCCTGGCCTTATAGGTGCTTTAGTTTGTCCCCCCGCCGCAACGGGACCAGCCCGGGGAGACGCCCCCCGCGCAACGGCTTACACGGTCGCACAGCTGTGGTCAGCCCCTCCAAGGGGAGGAGCCAGGGGAGACGCCCCCCTCCCAAACATGTGACGCCTTGATTGTTTCCTTGCGCGGCCCCCGGAAAAACCCATGCCCTCTCCCCAGGACCAACTCTTCACCTCGAGTCCTTGTTTGACGGACCGGAGGCCTGGCGAGGGCCCCCAGGGGCCGAAAACGGCGAAGCACCCTCCGTCGCAATGCTTTGTCCACGACGCGAGCATGTCGGGGCTCTCGTGCATCGGACCTCTCGGGCGCACAGCTTCTGTTAAGTCGTGCGTGTCCTCTTACAGGGGGATTTTGGGCGAAAAATCAAAAAATACTCGGAAAATACTTTCCCAAATACTCAAAAATAGTCTAAAAAATCGTCCCCAGACAATTTTTTGAACATTCCCCCTGTAGAGGGACACGCCCGACTTAAAGCTTCTGCTGCCGCCACCTCCGCCTCCTCCTCCGCCTCCTCCTCCTCCTCCTCCTCCTCCGCCTCCGCCTCCGCCTCCGCCTCCGCCTCCTCCTCCTCCTCCTCCTCCTCCTCCTCCTCCTCCTCCTCCTCCTCCTCCTCCTCCTCCTCCTCCTCCTCCTCCTCCTCCTCCTCCTCCTCCTCCTCCTCCTCCTCCTCCTCCTCCTCCTCCCTCTCGTGCATCGGACCTCGCGCACCCGCGCGGCGGCGTCCGAAAACTCTCGGCCGGCCGCGGCGTCCGAACGCCCGGGAGCCCGCTCAGACCAGCAGCAGCTTCGCCTGCTGCGCCGCCTGCTGCGGCCGCGCGTGGAGGAAGCTGTTGAGCCCGACGGCGAGCGACACCTGACTGATGATGATGATGATGATGATGATGATGATGATGATGATGATGATGATGATGATGATGATGGTGATGATGATGATGATGATGTTGTCGTTGTGCGGGAGATAGGGCAACCCTAACTCATGAGTAACTCTCGGTGAACTAACCCTAACTCATAGACTAACCCTACTCTCGGAGATAGAATATCCCAAACTCACGATAGAACAACCCTAGAACAACCCTAACCCTAACTCATGATGATGATGATCATCATCATCATCATCATCAGCAGCAGCAGCATCAGCGTCAGCACCAGCATCAGCATCAGCATCATCACCATCACCATCACCACCACCACCATCATCATCATCATCATCACCATCATCAGCAGCAGCATCAACATCATCATCATCATCATCATCATCAGCATCATCATCATCATCATCATCATCATCATCATCATCATCATCATCACCATAAGCATCATCACCATCATCATCAGCATCACCATCATCATCATCACCATCATCATCAGCATCACCATCATCATCAGCATCAGCATCAGCATCATCATCATCATCATCATCATCATCATCATCATCATCATCATCATCATCATCATCATCATCATCATCACCATCAGCATCATCACCATCATCATCAGCATCATCAGCATCATCATCATCATCGGTACGGCCCGGGGCTGCGCACAGACAGCCTCGGCGGGTGGCCCCCGCTGGCCTCCGAGAGGCCTCCCCCGCGTAGCCCCGGCCGGCCTCCACGGGCCCCCCCCCGCGCAGCCCGGGGCGGTCTCGACACACCTCGACGGAGCGCCCCCGAGGCGGCCTCGGCCTGGCGACGCTGAAGAGGGCCCTGGGACACACAGATAAATCCACACAAATCAAAGGATTCCCCATATTTCCCGATGTTTTTTGGTTGTTTGTCTTCCCCCTCTACTTCCCATATCTTCCCATATTTTCTGGGGAGTCGACGATTCATTGTGTCTGTGTGTTTTTTCCCCTCCTGAGACACCAGCGACGGCACCAGGTTGCCGAGACCGCCCATAGGTGGACGACTGCCCCGCAGGGCTTCCGATGATTCGGAATCGCGGGAAGCCCACAGATGGACGACTGCGGCCTGCGAACAACTATGGGAATCACGGGAAGCCCATGGATAGACGACTGCCGCCTGCGCATGATGGGAAACCCATCGGCTGCCAGATTCCCTACGGGCTTCTGGCGGCCGATGGGTTTCCCACAATTTGCAGGCGGCGGTCGTCCATCTATGGGCTTCCCATCATTCGCAGGCGGCGGTCGTCTATCTATGGGCTTCCCGTAAGGCCAAATTATGGGAAACCCATCGGCCGCAAGAAACCCGCAGGGAATCCGGCGGCCGATGGGTCCCCCATCATTCGCGAGCGGCGGTCGTCTTTCTATGGGCTTCCCGTGATTCCGAATTATGGGAAACCCATCGGCCGCCGGATTCCCTATAGGGGGTTCTGGTGGCCGATGGGTTTTCCATAATTCGCAGGCGGCAGTCGTCTTTCTATGGGCTTCCCGCAATTCCGAATTATGGGAAACCCATCGGCCGCCAGATTCCCTTAAGGGTTTCTGGCGGCCGATGGGTTCTCCATCGCACGCAGGCAGCAGGTGCCGATCTATGGGCTTCCCGTGATTCAGAATTATTTGAAGCCCATCGGCCGCCAGATTCCCTAGGGGTTTCTGGGGGCCGATGGGTTTCCCATCATTCGGAGGCGGCAGGTGCCGATCTATGGGCTTCCCGTAATTCCCAAATACGGGAAACCCATCGGCCGCCAGATTCCCTTAAGGGTTTCTGGCGGCCGATGGGTTTTCCATGATTCGCAGGCGGTGTCCCATAATTCGCAGGTGGCAACACTCTATCTATAAACTTCCCGTAATTCCGAATTATGGGAACCCATAATTCGGAATTGCGGGAAGCCCATAGATGGACAACTGCCCCCCAAGAGGGCCCCAGGACGGTCCAAGACAGCCCTAGGGCGGCCTCCAAGGCGGACAAGATAGCCTCCAAGACGGATACAAAGGCCTCTAAATTGCCCCACGACTGTCCGAAATTGCTTCCGCGACGGCCCAAAATGGTTCATTTCGCCTCCAGATTCGCCCTCGAGGCCACCAGCCAGCTGCCCGCAGCAATGCGGGCCGTCGGGGCCCGATCCCCCACCGCCACCTCACTTTGCATACGCTGGACGAACCGGAAGGCCCAGCTCCACCCCATCGGCATCACAGTGAACCTGGATAGACCGCCCGCGATGCAGATGCCGTCCGAGAAGTGGGTCCAGCCAAAAGTCGCCGCCTCGGAGCTCGTGCTCTTGGGCAAGCCGAGTAACGAATGACTGGCTGAGCTCGCAGGGGCCGCCGCACCGGTAAAAGCATCGCTCCATGTCCGCGCTGGCGACGTGCATGTGCTCCCCTGACTAAGCGGGGTCAGCGATGCTGGCGAGGGGTTCGATGGCGGCGATCTCTGCGTAAGGGGCATGCCGGGAGCGCATGTTGGCCAAACGGCAGTCCAGCACCATGCGCAGCCCTACATCCTTCTTCCCAGCGAAGAAGGGCGTCACCGTTTCCTTCACTGCCGTCAGCGACATAAGGATGCAGACGTCGACCAGGCACCTCACAATGTCGACGTTGGTTACTTGGTCGGAGAACAGCAACACCGTCTCAAAGGAGGGCCGATGAGTCCCGCCCACCCCCCAACTGCAGGTATACGTCGTGGTCGGTTAACAAAGACGTGTCGTCGTCGGCAAGGAGCTGGTCAGAGTCGCAATCCAAAACCGCGGCCATCGGAACCAACGGCCGCCCCGCCGGAGGTACAGAAAGAAAAACTGGAATGTCAGGTCGGACAAAACAGTCCGCGCCAATGTTTTCACAAATATTGCCCAAATGCCGACGCGTGGCTTCCCGGGGCGGCTCGAGGAGCCGCTCGTCAAAATCGCGCCGAGCCTGCCGCGACGCACGGAGAACTCTCCCCCGCGTGGCATCCTGCGCTGGAGTCACCACGCCCGCACTCTCGCGCGCAGCCGTAGAGGGCGTTCAGAACCTGGACGCAACGGATCGCATCCGCGCGGCAGCCTGGCGGAGGCGTCTTCGGCGCTGTCCAGTCCTGGCCTGGCCGTCGCCTCCAATCACGGGGCCTCTACCCCGGTGGGCGGCAAGGGAAAAACTCGCCCCTGCCTCCAGCACGGCGCCGTGCGGCACCATCCCCGCAAGCACGAAGGGCATCAGGCCAACCGCCAGCACCAGAGGGAGGACGTCCTGCGCGGCGAGGCGGCGCCTGGCGTCTTGGCTGAGACGAGGCGGCTGCGCCAGGTAGGGCACGAGCCCCGCCGCCTTGGTCCGCGTGGGTCAGTCCTTGTCCTTGGCCCCCTTGGGCCCTCCTTTCCTCGCCTCCCTCGCCTTGCAGCACTCCTCGTCGATGGACCAGATGGCAGCCTCCCGCGAAAAGTCCGCCGCCACGTGGGCCCGCAGTGACGGAACCACCAGCGCGCCGGACGCGACCGTGTCCTCCCCCATGACACATGAAGTGGTGGGTGTCGTCGAAGGCCGCTATGTCGGGGTCCTTGGCTGGAGGACGGCCTGCCGCTCGCGCGCGCGCAGCGGTCGGTGTTGGAGCCGCGACGCCGCGCAGAACTCGCCGTCGACGGTGACCACCGAGTGGCCTCCGAAATGGAGCGCCGCTGGCGGCCCTTGCCGGGCACTTCCAGCAACCGCGCGCGGCCAGGGCCGGCGAGGCGCGGCGGCACTGGCGGCGGGGTCGGCGTCCCCAGGCCCGGTTGGGGCCGCCAGCGGCGCGGGCAGCGGCAACGGCACAGCGGTGGGAGCGATCCCCTCAACTCAGCCCGCGGCGGCTGCTCCAGCGAGCTGGGCCAGCCCACGCGCCTGCCGCTCCACGATCGCGGCCGACGCTCCCTCGGCCGGCACGCTCGGCTGGCGTCGGCGCCACCGCGAAGCGATGCACCTGGCCACCCGCGAGCCCGAGCGGGAGGCCTCCGCCCGAAGGGCCGAACCGCAACCCGCTAAGATCCACGCTGGCCGCATCCAGCTGCTCGATGAACATGTCGTAGTCCGGCGCGAGCACCACGTACATGCTGGCACTGACCCGCGCCAGGGCCAGACGCTCGAGCCAGAGCTCGCCAGGGGGCCCCACCTCGTCGTAGCGCACGTCGTACGCGAAGCACCCCAGCTCCAGCGCCGCCATGCTGGCGGCTGCAGGCGCGGCTGCCGTGGGCAGCCGTCGCCCCCTCAGGCGGTGACTACGACGCCGCCCCCGCGCGGCGCGACCCACCGCCGGGCGACCGCGTCCGCCTCAGGCCCGCGCGCCGCCTCTCCAAGCGACGGGTGAGCTGGCACCGGCGGCGGAGCCACGAGAACCGCGGCGGCGTGCGACGCCACACGAGCTGGAGCGCGCGCCTGCCGAGCCGCCGGGCCGCAGGCGAGCCCCGTCCGCAGACTCCTGGCCGGGAGGCCCCGGACCGCCGGCCCCGCCGCCGAGCGAGGCGCGCACGCCGGGCAGGGCCGGCGGCGGCGGGCACGGGCGCTGCAGGTGCTCCGGCCCGCACCGCTCGAGCTGCCTCTGCGCGCCAAGGGAGTCGGTCGGGCCACACTGGCAGCGGCACGGCCGCGCGAGCCCCTTTAAGCCCCGGGAGCCACGACCCAGCCGCCGCCGCGCCCACCGCGGCCCAAGGATCGGCCATGCAGGCCGACGCTGAAGCCAGGATCGGGCTTGAGGCCAAAGCGGCGGCGGACAACGTCCAGTGGCCGACGCCATCGTCGTCGGCAAGACCCGTCCCCCTGCTTGCAACACAAGAGCGTGATCACTGGTAGGCACACGCGAATACATTTGCATAAACATATACATGTGCATAACTACATACACATAACTACATACATCCATACATCGTTCTACATGAATACACACATACACACATACATGCATGCATACGTAAATACATACACACATACATATGTACATCCATCCATCCATCCATCCATCCATCCATACATACATACATGCATGCATGCATGCATACAAACCTACCTACCTACCTACCTACCTACCTACCTACCTACCTACCGACCGACCGACCTACCTACCTACCTACCTACCTACCTGCCTACCCACACCTACCTACCTATCTACCTACCGACCTACCGACCTACCGACCTACCGACCTACATACATACATACATACATACATACATACAAACATACATACATACATACATACATACATGCATGCATGCATACATGCATACAGACATGCATGCATAGTTACTTTGTTATGTGTCACGGTAGTTGAACACGTATAGATATACATATACCTAGTGGGGTCCCGCCCGCAGGGTCCGGGCGGACGCCCCCACGTCTGCCCCCCCTTCCACGGGCCCCCGGGCACGCCCCCTGGAGGCGGTGGGCGTAAGGATGCAGCCTCTCCCTGGCCGTGCTGGCCCAGAAGCGCAGATCGCCTGGCAGTCGGCCGATCTCCTGACCGCCCTGGCGGCGCTCGGCCTCGCAGTCCCCGCGCTCTGGGGCCTCCCGCCGAGCCGACGCGGCGCGAGCTCTGCCGCTGTATCGCGGCGACGGGCGCGTGGCTGCGGCGGGCCCGCGAAGCGCAGGCCGCTCGACGGTCGACCGCTCTCCTGGGCGACCTGGCGGCGCTCGGCCTCGAAACGGCCTTGCTGGGAGGGGGGGGGGGGGGGGGGGGCCGGCTGCGCAGGCCTACCCTGGGCCCCCCCCTGCGAGGAAGGCACTCCCTGGGCCTGCCTGGGCCTCCCTGGGCCCTGCCAGGCCTGCCCTGGAGCCTCCCCCTGGGGGAGGCCGTCGCCTTCGTCGGAGGCCTGCCTGGTGGCCTCCCATGGGCCCGCATGCCCTGGGCTCACGACGGCCCCCTGCCCTGGGCCCCCCTGGGCCTACATGCTCCAGGCTGCCCCCGAAGGCGAGGCCTTCCCTGGGCCTTCCGCGGGGGGCCCTCCCCGGCCCCCCCCGTGCGACCCTTTGTTTGTATGATTACAACAAGGCCTTTTTGATGGATTTCCTTGTGATTGGAACGCTATGTATCATCATAGGTTCTTCCTGGGCGCGCGCGCATATCGGTGCCCCTGCTTTTCTTGTCGTAGAAGAAGACTCTGGCATCGATGCCTCTCTTCTTCACTCATCTTCCTCCTCCTCCCCTTCCTTTCAATCGCAGTGCATCGCATCAGCGAGAACTACAAACAGTGGCGGGCGTTCATGATGGAATACTTCGACATGCCCCCGAAGGCCGCCAAAAAAAGCTTAATTCGGTTGGTTCGCTTGGGGAAGCCATCGCACGACATTCCTTTCTTGTGGAACTTGTCAGTGCAAATCCACGCAGCCGTGGACATCGTTCTGGGCATGGACCGTTTTGGGTACTTGGCGTCCCACTTCTCGGAGAGGCCGAACCCCCGTGGGTCTCGCATCCACTTTGCTTTGGCCGCGGTGGAAGAAGACATCATGAACGACTTGGTGCGCGGATTACCCAGTCACGCGCCGAGTTGCGAGGTCAATGCCCTCATGCTGGACGGGGCCATATTGCGGATGCAAGAGTCGAGTTTTGATGCTCTACTTCAGCACCTCGAGAACGTGGGTTCCAAGCACGGCGTGTCGTTCTCGACCGACAAGTTCGACAGGCTCGGCGGCGCGCCCATTGCTTTCTCTGCAGACCTGATAGGCAGATTGAAAGAAGAAGTAAACGCCGCAGACCTGAGTACGTGCAAGGACGGTCAGAATCGCTGGCGATGCCCGCACTGCCCCAATCGCCACTTCCAGCGTCTCGCATTCCTCGAAGACCATCACTGGTACCATCAGCAAGAACCTGTTCTTGGGGGCGCATCCGGTCGCCAGGCGATGGTGATCGAGAACATGGCGAAGATGGATCAACTACAAATCAACGTTTCCTTTTTGACAGGTGCCCGGCAGCATGGCGGCGAAGGCTACTTAGGACGCAGCGCCCAGCTTCTCCGTGAATCCGTTGGGGTCGACAATTTGCGGAATGCGAACGATGTCCGTGCTCGCGTCATCCTCGACGTTCGCGGCCCCCGCTTTGCTGTCGACGACCAGGGCATCAGGATTACCCGCAACTACCGCGTCACTCCCGAGTTTCTGCTCCTTGCGGTGTCCTTCAACGATAGTCGCACGCAGAGCAAGTACTTGCGAATTCGGGACCGCATCATTGAGCACTACATATCGCACGGTAGCGAACTGAGCTTCGTGGTGCCTACCATGAATACAGTGTGGGAGCAAATTTACAAGGCTGGGGTTCAGATCTCTGCGGCATATAAAAAGAAGTGCGTCGACGAGTTGAGCTTCCGCGCGATGTCTTTCGATTCATCATATAAATACACGCTAGCTGTGGTCGGGCAGACAAGCCACGGAAAGAAGAAGGACGATTCCGATCGTTCTGAGTTCCACTGCGTACACGTGATGATCGCGGACGGCGTGCCAGTATCTTGCAAGCCAGGGTACAGCGAAGGAGTTCCAGAACTTTCAGATTTCATCAAGGCAAACGCAACGCTTGCGCAAAGACGCCAAGCGGAGATTATCCTTTTTGATACACCGGAGAAGTGGGACATGCAGAAGGCGCAGAAACTCTTTCCAAATCTAAAATGCGTCGGCGGTGACCCTCTACACGCGTGGATGGACTTAGTGAAGTTCATCAAGGAGGGTGACCAGCTGAGCAGGGACTTCGAGAAAATCGTTCTGAAGTTCAATGGGAGACCTGCGCCGAGTCTGAAGGCGAAGCGCTACTTCGACGGGAGCCAGCCCAGGGGTCGGGCGCACGTGGATTTCAAACCGTGCCCCTCGGATCTTCGCAAGGCGTATGAACGTTTGCAGACAACGGCTTACCAGGAAAAGGCTTACCTGAACCACAAACAGTATTGCCTTGACATCATGGCAGCGATGAGCCAGAACGAGAGGTCGTGCCAGAGACCACTCACAGGCCGCAATGCCCAGTCGACGGTCAGCGATCTCCTCTCCAGGTACATGGCGCCCGCAAAGTATTTGTACTACCAGAACATATCCGTGTACAGAATGAGAACGGGGCTGCCGTGCCAATACGGGACAACTCCTAATGAAGCAGTCATGTTCCAGCTGAAGGCGTACAACGCCAATGTTTTCGCATCGACTCGCCAGCGGTGTGAGTTCACGTTGGACTTGTTCACCTTCGGGAAGGTTGTGTCACTGCACATGAAAAGAAGAGCGCCTGAAGGGATGTCCAAACTTTCCCCCGTGTCTTGTCATGCCCATGCGATGGCCCTCCTGAGGCGACAGCTCGAGTTGGGACATGTGAAGGCTCCGAGCTCGAAATGTGTAGAGGAGTGGCAGGATCCCCAGGTTGTGACAAAGGGGAGCAAACGCAAGCGCAGGAGCGCCAGCGCGCCAGCCAAGCGCCAAAGGCGCTAGCTGCATGCCAACTGCGTAGACATCATTTCCCATCCTTGCACACCTCTGCTCCTTCACTGCATTCTGTCAGTTTGAATTGCTGCCCCACGGAAAACATAAGCCACCTGAACTTAATTTGGCGAATCGAAATGGCCTTCGGCAGTTCCGTGGCCCCCTCGCATTCTGTGGAAATCTGGATCTGGAATCTACCGAATTACATTAGAATTAAACATATTAAAAATTGGAAAACATTCGGGATTAGGATCTGCCCGATAAGCGTTTATTTTGAATTAGAATGTTATTAGGTATCAGATTTGGGTTTCATGTCCAGGGCCCTCCGAGCGGCCCAGGGGCCCTCCGCTCGGCGACGCGGAGGAGGCAGGAACATAGGAAAAACACATTAGAATAAAAGGAAAACTTTTGTTTTCTCATGGAAAATGGGAAAACTCAAAAAAAAGAACGACAGTCACATGTTTCGTGGCTTTTCTTATTTTTCTTTGTGAAAACACAAGGTGTTTCATTGTTTTTCCTGTGTTTCCTATTTTCCTCCTCCTCCCCCCGAGGGCCCTGGCCCTCCGAGCTGCCCAAGGGCCTTCCGCGCAGCAGAGCGGAGGAGGAGGAAAATAGGAAAAACAGGAAAAACAATGAAAAACTTGTGTTTTCACAGAGAAAAATAGAAAAAACTAAAAAAAGAGCGACAGTCACAGGTTTCGTGGATTTTCCCTATTTTTCTCTGTGAAAACACATTTTTTTCATTGTTTTTCCTGTTTTTCCTATTTTCTTTCTCCTCCCCCCGAGGGCCCTGGCCCCCCGAGCTGCCCAGGGGCCCTCCGCGCAGCAGAGCGGAGGAAAAGGAAATAGGAAAAACAAGAAAAACAAGGAAAAACCTGTGTTTTCACAAAGAAAAATAGGAAAAACTAAAAAAGAGCGTCAGTCACAGGTTTCGTGGCTTTTCCCTATTTTTCTATGTGAAAACACAGGTTTTTCATTGTTTTTCCTGTTTTTCCTATTTTCCTCCTCCTCCCCCCGAGGGCCCTGGCCCTCCGAGCTGCCCAGGGGCCCTCCGCGCAGCAGATCGGAGGAGGAGGAAAATAGGAAAAACAGGAAAAACAAGGAAAAACCTGTGTTTTCACAGAGAAAAATAGGAAAAACTAAAAAAAGAATGACAGTCACAGGTTTCGTGGCTTTTTCCTATTTTTCTCTGTGAAAACATAAGTTTTTCCTTGTTTTTCCTGGCAAGCTTCCGCGGCCCCTCCTCCCTCCTCCTCCCTCCCTTCTCCTCCATCCTTCCTTCTCCACTGCAGATACAATCTGATTGCAATAAGAAAGCAGTACGAACATAATAAGATTACATTCGAGATGTCCCCCTCCCCCCCTCCCGCCTCACACGCCATCCTTCTCCAGAAAGATTGTATAATATCCCATTATGAATATCAATGTTTGCAGGGCAAAAAAGCGGCGGTTGTAATCGCACAAACAAAGGGTCCTACCGGCCCCCCCCCCCCGACGCGGCGCCGAGGCCCCGCCGCTCCGTCGCGCGGCGGCGGGCCTTCTTGCTCGTGCCGTTGACGGGCCCGCCGTCGATGGCCAGGTTCCAGAACATGGCGCCCCGCGGCCGCAGCGCGGGCGGCAGCGCGGCGAAGGCGGCGCCCACGGACTCCGGCGCGAAGTACGGCGACTTGCCGGGCAGGTCCGGGGAGCCGAAGGACAGGCCGACCACCAGCCGGCGGGGCTCCACGGCCACACGGCTGGTGAGAGGCGCAGAGGTTGGCACCAGCACCAGTACTGGTCGCTGCATGGTGGTCGTGGTCGTGGTCGTGGCAGGGCCCCTGTTCAGAAAAAAGCGGCAGCGAACTCGATACGCGCGTCTGTTCGTTCGCACATGAAACAAGCCCTTGCGGTTACTAAGGTATGATATCTCTTGTGTTCAATCGCTAGCGTAAGTGACCACCGATGTTTTTTCAAGAGTGGTTTGTACAATGCGTTTTTCTTCATTGCCACTACCAATGCCGGTCGGCGAAATATCGGCGGTTGCCCACACCAAGGGAAGACGATCCCAATCTTGGTGATGGTGGTGAGATTCAGGCTTCTTGGGCGGCCACAAGATTACCGTTTAGTCGGGCATGTCCCCCTACAGGGGGATTTTGAATGACAAATTACAAGTAATCAAAAATACTCCAACATGGTCAGAAATAATCCAAACACAGTCCCCAGACCATTTTTTGACTATTTCTGAACATTCCCCCTGTAGAGGGACAGGACCGACTTAAGATTACCACCACCTCGGGGAGGAGACCGGGGGGATGGGTCCCGAGAAAATCTGCCAAGAGGCGAGGAGACAGGCACATCCGCTCAAAGCCACCAGTCCCAGACGGCCCCTGGGCCCGGAAGCGGCCCCCGCGAAGGCCGAAGAAGGCAGAGCAGCTTCTCGAACCTGGCACCTCGAACCCCCCCCCTCCCCTGCTGGCCGAAACCGATTTCGGGCCACCTCAGACCCCAACACCAAAATCTAGGAGGAGGAGGCCGCGAGGATATGTGTATGTCTCTCTCTCTCTCTCTATATATATATATATGTGTGTGTATTTGTATGTGTACATATATGTATGTCTATATATATATATATATATATATATATAGAGATGTATGTATGTATATATATATATATATATATATATGGATTGTTCGCCCGGTTTTTTTGTCACCGCACCGCGGCTGCCAGGGCTCCTCCTGGCAGCGACCACCAACAACACAATCCAGGACCCTCTCCCCCCCCCGGTGCAGACACTCTCCCGTCCTGGTGCTGGCGCCGACGTCTGGGCCTCCCAGGGCTCGGCGGGGCGTCCACGTCCGGCTCCTCGGTGAAGTTGACGACCGCCCCCTTCCCCGCGGCGGGGCTCGGGGTTGTGCGCGGGCAGCCCCCAAGAGTACAGTCATCGGCCTGACCTAAGGAACGATAAATAAGGAACGAAGCCCCTTTTTTATCCCAAGGAATAACGCATAAGGAGCGATAAAAAATCAAAAAACGCATAATGAACTGTAAATAACGCATGCAAGCCTAAGGAACGACCGAACCCCTTTTGAAAAGTAAGTGTTCCTTATTCAAGCCGCTCACTGTAGAGGCCGAGCGTATGGATTCGGAGGATCGCGCCACGTCGCCGACGCATCGGCGACGCGTCGGCAAATGCCTCGGCGATGCATCGGCGTGGGCAGGGATCCTCCGACCTCCTCTACAGGGGAGCCCAGAAGCGAATCGACAAGTCGGATCGGCGATCGAAATGAATCGGATCGGCAGAAATCGGCAGCCAAGTCGGGAAAAGTCGAATCAGCGGACATCGGCAGGCTAGTAGGCCTCCATTGAGAAATCGGGACCCAAATCGGAATCCCAAGTCGAATCGAATCTGAATCGGAAGCCATCGAAGTCGAATGGAATCGAATCGGAGGAATCGGAATGAGCCCTGCATCTATGCCGGCCCCGTCTGGAGGCCCAAAGAGAGGCAGCCCTGGCACCCACCGATCTGACTTCTGCAGCTCGCGGCCCCAGCAGTCGACCGCTTCCCCGCGGGCGGCTTTCGTCCCGGCTCCATGCCTCGTGGCCCTGGGGCCCGAAAACGAGCCAGAGGAGGCGGAGGAGGAGGAGGAGGAGGAGGAGGAGGAGGAGCAGGAGGAGGAAGGAGGAAGCGAGGGAGGGAGGGAGGGAGGAAGGGAGGGAGGGAGTGAGGGAGTGAGGGAGGAGGAGGAGGAGGAGGGAGGAGGAGGAGGAGGAGGACGAGGAGGAGGAGGAGGAGGAGGAGGAGACGGAGGGAGGAGGGGAGACGGAGGAGGAGGAGGAGGAGGAGGAGGGAGGAGGGGAGGAGGAGGAGGAGGAGGAGGGGTAGAGGAGGTAGGGAGGAGAGGAGGCAGGAGGAGGAGGAGGAGGAGGCAGGGAGGAGGCAGGCGAGGAGAGGGGAGAGAGGCAGGGAGGAGGAGGGAAGGAGGAGGGAGGAGGGAGAAGGGAGGAGGAGAAGGAGGAGGAGAAGGAGGGACAGGAGCAGCAGGAGGAGGAGGAGCAGGCCGAAAGCGATAACAAAAACGCTGGTTGAAAACACATCGCCAGAGATCCGGAAGCCGCGGCTGGCCTCGGCGGGCCCCCAGGGCACTCCGAAGCGGCCTCGGCAACCCGGCCTGGCAAGAGGCGGCGCGGAGGCCTCGAGAGGAGTGCCCCTGGGGTGCCCGAGGTCTAGACTTAAGTCGGGCGTGTCCCCCTACAGGGGGATTTCGGTCGAAAAATAAAAGAGATGCTCCAAAAATACCCCCCCCCTGATACTCCAGAAAAGTCAAAAAATCGTCCCCAGGCTATGTTTTGACTGTTTTGGATGTGTCCCCCTTTAGAGGGACACGCCCGACTTAAAGCTTCTGCTGCCGCCTCCTCCTCCTCCTCCTCCTCCTCCTCCTCCTCCTCCTCCTCCTCCTCCTCTCCCTCCTCCTCCTCCTCCTCCTCCTCCTCCCCCTCCCCCTCCTACTCCACTCCACTCCTCCTCCTCCTACTCCCCTCCTCTCCTCCTACTCCTCCTCCCCTCCTCCCCTCCACTCCCCTCCTCCTCCTCCTCCTCCTCCTCCCTCCCTCCTCCTCCTCCTCCTCCTCCTCCTCCTCCTCCCCTCCCCTCCCTCCTCCTACTCCTCCTCCTCCTCCCTCATCCTCCTCCTCCTCCTCCTCCTCCCCTCCTCCTCCTCCTCCTATCCTCCCATCTCATCCTCATCCTCCTCCTCCTCCTCCTCCTCCTCCCTCCTCGCTCCCTCCTCCTCCTCCTCCTCCTCCTCTCCTCCGCCTCCTCCTCCTCCTCCCCCTCCTCCGCCTCCTCCTATGAACTTCGCGGCCCGACTCTTCGGGCCGCCAGTGCGCAGCCCAGAGCCGTGCCACCTTCCAAGCCTGAGCTGGATCGCATCGCGACTTCGAATCGGATCGGAAACGGATCGGATCGTCAGCCAATCGCCCCGCGTCGAATCGGCATCGGATCGCCGCGCCTGGCTCCAGCTGGCCCTGGCCGCCACAGAGGAATCGAACCGAAGCGAACCAGATCGGAAGCGCCGCCCCCGCCCGGCGAATCGAACCGCGCCGAGTCGGATCGCAGCTGGCCCTGCCTTCTCGAGCGCCCTGATCCAGCGCTCCTCGGGAAACCAGAAATAGACGAGCGCGTTCCACTACTCGCAAAGCAACTACTCGCAAATTGCCTGGATACCCCCTGCAGGACCTACGAGAAATAGCGTCGAAGCGGACATGTGTTTTCCAGACGTTTGCGAGTAGGCACTTTGCGAGTAGTGGAACGCGCTCGGTGAAGAAAAGAAAGGGTACAGATACCGCGACTCCCTGGTCCTCTCCCGGAGTGCGTCCTGACCAGAATTTCGAAGCGAAACCAGCCGTGGCGATGGGGGCCTCCCAGGAGGCCCAAGAGGGCGAAGACGAGGCAGGGTAGCGGCATGAAGCCTTCTAGATGGGGTCCGAATAAGGGGGTCGGAAGATCGCGCCGCATCGCCGATGCATCGGCGACGTCGGCGGTGCTTCGGCGGCAGCAGCGTGGAGAAAATCGGGCTCCACATCGAGCCGCACTGCCGATGCATCGGCGATGCGGCGCGATCCTCCGAGCCCGTCGACCCTGACCCCACCTAGCTCCAAACTCCAGGTACAATTCTGGGCCGCTTTCCGGTCTTCCCTAACCTGGAAAGGTATGAGTACACGTCGGTCGGAAGAAGTAGGTAAAAAACATGAAGTAGGAAGGCGGATTAAGTTGCTTGGGTCTAGGCCCCCCCGGAGAATAACAAAACACAGCAAAAGCGTGCCGAGTCTTGAAGTAGGAAGGCGCTTGAAGTAGATTGGGATCTGGGAATCCAAAAATACCTACTTTCAGCGACCGGCGTGTACCTTTTGCTCCCCTCCCGAACTCCAGGTACGACTCTGGGCTCTCCCCGCTTGCCAGCGCAGCGCCCGCGCGGCTCCAGCTCTCGTAGAGCTGCACGCTCACGAGGTCGAAGGTACGGTCGCCCGCGGCCGAGGGGCTCGCGTCGTACTTCGCCTGGGACACAGGAGGACATGAGGACATACTAGCACTATACGCCGCCCATCCTCCTTCTCTTGCTCCTGCTCCTGCTCCTGCTCCTGCTCCTCCTCCTCCTCCTCCTCCTCCTCCTCCTCCTCCTCCTGCTCCTCCTCCTGCTCCTCCTCCTCCTCTGCTGCTGCTCTTCCTGCTCCTCCTCCTGCTGCTCCTCATGCTGCTGCTCCTCCTGCAGCTGCTCCTCCGCCTCCTCCTCCTCTCCTCCTCCCTCCTCCTCCTCCTCCTCCGCCTCCGCCTCCCCCTCCCCCTCCCCCTACTTCCCCTCTCGCCCGCGTTCGATATGCTCGCGTCGTACTTTGCCTGGGGCGCAGGAGGACATACGCCGCGTTTGGAAGCGCAGGCGTCCTCCCGAACCAATCACGACGGAAGGTTTTTCTGGATTATTTCCCTTTCTTTGCAGCCTCTGGGGGCCCTTACCGGCCCCGGGACCGCCAAAAACGACTCGAGAAGAAACGCCGGCCCCGGGGAACGGGTCGGGACCGCTGGGGGTCGACGCTATGCACAGATGGTGGCGTCGAGGCCGCGCCTGGAGGCGCACGTCAGAACCGAGCAGATCAGGCTCGCGCCCCGATGACGTCGGCACTGGTCTCTGGCACCCCGCAGACCATTCCAGCTCGAGAGGAGGAGGAGGAGGAGGAGGAGGAGGAGGAGGAGGAGGAGGAGGAGGAGGGAGCGAGGGAAGAGGACAGAGAGGACGCGGAGGAGGAAGGGGGGGAGGGAGGGAGGGAGGAAGGGAGGGAGTAGGTGTAGAAGGAGGAGGAGGAGGAGGAGGAGGAGGAGGAGAAGAAGCAGAAGAAGAAGAAGAAGAAGAAGAAGAAGAAGAAGAAGGGAGACTAGGAGAAGGAGGACGAGCCATCGCGGCCTCCCGATGGCGCAGACCGTCCGACAGCGGCCGGCTCCGGGCCACCCGCGGCGCCCCGGCCCTGCACGCCCGCGCGGGGGGTCACCGCCGCGGCCGCGCGCGCGCGAGCTTCCCGCGCACGCGCGGCATGGCCGGAGAGCGCCCGCCGCCGAGGGCTTTTTGATCTGCGGGTCGAGAGCGAGCCTCTTCCGATAGAAGCTAAGCGGGCCGCGCATAGCTTTCGCCGCCGAGAGCACAGGCGGAGGCAGATTCCCTGGGCGCGCGCGTCGGGCCCCGGAGGGCCAGCGCACCCACAGTGTGCGACTGCCTCCCAGACCGCCCCAACCCAAGCTGAAGACCCGAGTTTCGGGTTGGGGGGGGGATAAAGGGTTCCACATGTGCTTTCTCGATGTTTCCCCCCCCCCCCCCCCCCCCTGGAGATCGAGGGTAGATCTGAGCCTTCGGGTTAGTTTGGGGTGGTTTGGTGGGTGGTGAGTGTGGATAAGTTGGGGTGATGCCGACTCGCCAGCCACAGCGCGTAGACGTTGCGGCCGTGGTAGTAGAAGTCTGGCCGGTAGTCTGGGTACGAGTGCCTCAGGGACAGGTCGAACCCGCCGATCTCTACATCCAGGTAACTCTGCGGCGGCACCAGCGTCACGAGGTAGCCTGCGGCCTTGGCAGCCTGTGACATCGTGCCAACCAGCTCCATACACTCTGGGGTGAAATGGTTCCACTGCGAAGCTGGGTCGTCGTTCCCCTCTAAGTCCCAATCGATACCGTCGAAACCCGCAAACCCAAGGTCTGGTTGCGCCACAACGTTCTTGTTCCACGAATCCCAAGCCTCCCACCACTGCTGGCCTGAGAAGGTGGTATCCGGGTGTGGCGCGTCCCAGCCCCCAATAGACAACAGGTGGGTGGTCACCATGCCCTCGTCTGCCAAAGACTTCGCAACCTGCGGAATCAGAGGAACCGCAAAACTGCGTGCTCAGAATTTCTCTGAGCTCCGCAAAAGGATTTCTTGGATATCGGCGCGGACATCCCCCTCTTCCCCGGCGGAGAAGGAGGGAAGGAGGAGAAGGAGGAAGAGGGATGAGGAGGATGAGAGGCGAGGAGGAGGAGGAGGAGGAGGAGGAGGAGCAAGGAGGAGGGGCCAGGAGGGAGGGGCAAGGAGGGAGGGGGGGGGCGGAGGAGCAGGAGGAGCGATGAGGAGCAATGAGGAGACTTTCGTCATCGTCGCGGAGCCTCAGGCGCCGCCACGGGGGGTCCGGCGCAGCTCCAGGAAATCGGGCGGAACTCAAAGATTGCTATGTTTGTGCCGTTCTTTGTTCCTCGCAGCCTGCGCGATGCACCTGGGCGGACCAGAACAGCTACGCTTAAGTCGGGCGTGCCCCCCTCTGCAGGGGGATCTTGGACGAAACATGAAAAATACCCAGAACATGCCCCCCCAATGCTCAAGAATAGTCCGAAAATCGTCCCCCAGGCTATCTTGTACTATTTTTGAATATTCCCCCAGTCGAGCGCCCGGAAAAGTGTCGAAAGACTGTCGAAAGAATGTCGAAAGAGTGTCTCCGAGGGCCCGACACGTGAAAACCCTCGAGTTTTGGGGTGGTTTCTTGGTGCTCGAAATTCATTCTGGCGATCAAGGCTAAAGTAGGTTGGAACGTCATAACCCTACCGTGACTCTGCGGACCTCCCCGTTACAGTCAACCCGCAGAATAAGGATGCGCGATAAGGATGTAAGGGCCTTGGACGCCCACTTCGAAGCGTTTCGACCGGGGCGCGGCCGACGAAAGTGTCCAAGGATACACCGAGGATGCAAGGATGCAAAGGTACCCTTGGGAAGGTTGCCTATCCTCACTCTGCGTGTTGACTGTACCCCTACCGTTACTCTGAGGACCTCCCCTGGGGTGCGCTCTGGCCGGAATCTCAGGGAGCGAATGCAGCGGCGGAGGCCCTGACCGGAAGGCTCCCCAAAAGGGCGGAGACGAGGCAGGGGCCGCGGCATCGGTCCCTTTCTGTCGGGCGTGTCCCCCTACAGAGGGGATTTTCGACGAAAAATAAGAAAATACCGCACAAAACGCCCCAAAAAGGTCAACAAATATTCAAAAAATAGTCCCCAGACTATCTTTGGACTATTTTGGTTTTTTTTTTTCTGTCGAAAATCCCCCTGTAGGGGGACACGCCCGACTTAACGCTACCTTTTCCTCCTCCGAGCACCGGACGTCTTCTCCGAAACGGATGGCAGGCTCACCGGTCTGAGCGTCGCGAACGAGGTTCACTGCGAACCATATGATCACGTTCACGCCGAGCTCCGCCTCCACGATCACCTTGCTGTCGCACGTGTTCGCGTAGCCGACTATGAGGGAACCCTCACTGGAGGGCCCCAAGCAGGACGAAGGCAGAGGGAATTGGAGAAGGAATCAGTGGACACGGAGTCCAGTGTCTGGAAGCTGGTGGATCTCCAATCGTGGATTGTCCATGGATTTAATTGCTGCCTTCATCAGATAAATCTCCAGGGTGTCGTTGCGGCGGCCCCGGCGACCCGCTATGCCATGCCAACGAATAGCGTGTCGCTCCGTTCCGATGGGCGGGAGGCTGGGAAAGGCGCAGGACGTTGACGCTTGGGGACCAGGAAGTGGTCAGCTTTTTGCGCCGAAGCGTGGTGGGCCAAAACCGACAGAGCGGCACGCTAACCAACAAGTCCCGACAATAACGCAGAAGGCGGTGGCCGTTGGGCTTCGATACCGCACGGGGCACTCTGAAGGGGCCCCGGGACACTCAAATGAATACACACAGATCCCAGGATTCCTCATATTTCCTCATAGTTCCGGGGTTTTTGTCTTCCCCCCTACTTCCCATAGTTTCTCATGTTTTCGCGGGGGGTCGACGATGAATTGTGTCTGTGTGTCCTTCCCCCTCCTGACATTCGTCGATCTGGAGCGGCCGCGGGTCTCAAGCAGAGAGAGAGGACCAGTCGGTGGAGGCCGATCCCAGGCAAGTGGCAGCGTTCATCCTTGCACGCCTTCGTCAGGAGGAGGAGGGAGAAGAAGGGAGGAGGAGGAGGAGGAGAAGGAGGGAGGAGGAGGGAGGAGGAGAAGAGGAGGAGGAGGAGGAGGAGGAGGGAGGAGGAGGAGGAGGAGTAACGATTGAAACACACACACACAACAAGTAACAACAGCAGCAACAACAAGAGCAACACCCACACCACCAACAACAAGGAGTAAACACACACACTGGTGCCCGGGACCCAAGTCACCCGGTTGCGTTTTCGCCACCGGGGCGAAAACTCACACTGGTGGCCGGTTGCTAACCCCCCCCAGCAGCACA